AGTGTAGCACAAAATGATTTGTGTGTGTGTGTGTGTTCTACAGTGCATCCATTTGGGAGTCGTAACTCGGTTGTGGCTGTTATTTTCTGTCCTCACACGAAGCCTTCGGGGTATTTAAAGTGCCAGAGTTTGTGTTATTTTATTATTACATTAAAGTTGCGCTGACACGGGCTGCGCTCACTGCAGTTAAGGTCATATTTTAGATCTCAGTATTTTTAACTACACACTAAGGGCTGCGCTCACTGCAGTTAAGGTCATTTTTAAGTACACACTAGGACCTCCTGCTTTTTGGCTATTTTTTTTTTGCCTAATTACAAGTGCCCTAAGTTTGAATGAATGAAGAGTTTCGGAAAGAAGACAGATTTAAAAATGGACTTAAATCCCTGAAACGATGAAGAATATAACACAGATTATAAGTTATCGAGGTTTGAGGCAACGACACTCTTGACCAGAGATGAAAGAGGATAAAAGCTAAAAGCAGTAAACATTACAAATAATTAGCTAGAACAAGGCCCAGTGAACTAATAGCTTAAGATGCTAACTATTAGCCTAATTATAACTTTTATTAGTTTAACATATAACCGGAAAGGTAACGTAATGTGAACTGTTCTCACGTTTGTGAATTTTGAAAGTGATTTGGACAAAAATAATAAGAACCTAAAGTGAGTTCATGTGAGTGAAGCTAGCTTCCTCTTGGATGGTTTTCATTAAGCGTTTTCCAAAACAAATTCAGAGTTTCACTGTGAAATCGGGTCATTTAATTACCGTCGTGAGATTCACGCTCATTAATCAGTCCAGCTGGTGCAACAGGATGCGAGTTCCTACATTTTTAAAATGTGAAAATTAAGAATGAGAGTTTGATTATTTTCACTTAAAATGAACACGAATAATTAAAAATCAGGGTTAACCAACGTTAGACCAACTTTTAGAAGAAGTGCTGCAGCTCACACCACAGCTGACACACTATCTTCACCACTAACAACTCTCTCTGGTTGAACGGTTAGCCCTCCAACCCACAGTGTGTGTGTGTGTGTGCTGGAGTCGGTGTGTGTGTGTGTGTGTGTGCTGGAGTCAGAACTAAAGAAAACTGCTAATGAAATGGGTGAGTGTGAGTGAATTGGATGAGGGTGTGAATTTCGCACTTATTACGTCTGTGTTTAATATTCAGAAATGTCTATAGGACGTCAAACTGCGATGATAAGCTGTTTGGCTTCAGCTTGTGGCTCTGTTGGATAATGATAGAGGGCGCTGTGTTGTCTGAAAAAAATGTGAACAGGCGTGATTTTTTTTTTTTTTAGAAACAAGAAACAAAACAACTTTACACTTATGATTAATCATGATTACTCATGATGCGAATTAATCGGGATTAATCCTGATTAATCGAGCTTTTTTCAACCTACCCAAAGATGACAGAGATTTCTAATCCTTTCGGTCTATGCGGTGAACTACCCTGATTAACCCGTCTGTTTTGACAGCCCTGGTAAAATCAATTGAATCTGTGTGCGAACTTTTGTCTTTGCCGTAGCCTTCTGTACACAAACACCTTTAATCCAATTTTCTGCTAATCACAGCAGTTAGGACCAGATCAATCCTCTGTGCCAACAAGAACGGAGCGAGGCAGCAGAGAGAGGAAGTGGACAGGAGACAGGACAGAGATAAGGAAGCTTTGAAGCCGTCCAAATGTGTCTGAAGATGATAAAAAAACAAAACCGCAGCATCATTCTGATGTCTAACCCTTACATTGACGTCATTGTTTCTTTAATCTGGGTCTTAACCTTCAGCCAGCTGGACTGGTGTTGGTCAGTTAGGTTTCTCTAAGATGTGACCTACATTCTACATGGGTATGTACCACATTGTTGTCATTCAGAGGGTTGTCTAAGGGCAGACTTTACTAACTGGAAATTGTGGAAAACGTGGCAAAGATTCTTCTAGTCCGTCCTTGCTCAGATTAGCTCTTGGCTGAAGAACGCTGAGAGTGCTGATGTTTTTTTTTTCTTTAATTATCTGTGTCTTTTACACATGTATTCAGACTCTGATCCTCTTCATCTGTGTACGTGCACAAACGTCTGAGAACAACACCTGATCCCTCCGCTTTCCCACAGAGCTGAGTCCAAGATTCCCAGCACTTTGCATTGATTATTAATGGTCGGTTTCAGAAAAGGAGTGATGAGGGAGAAACTGATCTGACTTTCACTGAACGCTGACGTTCAAAGAAATACGCTGAGCGATGACTGGGCTCTTCCCAGAATGACCCTGGAAACAATGATTGGATGATGAATCCCAAAGTTCTGACAAGGCCTGTAGACAAAGGCGTGAAGTTATTCCGGCACAAAATGATTCAGCGCGGACACTGAAGATTGAGGTTTCACCTCTTTGTTATTGATGACCGGTTACAGTCAGCGTCGGGACTGAAAGTTTAGCGTCAGCAAGTTTGTGAAATGTTTTATGAAAGTTCCGCTCGTGGAGACACGATTTGAAAGATCATCAGAATCTGGACAGTTAAAGTTAGAGGAACACAGTGTCACTGAGGTGGATCGTTTAATTTCCTTTAGCTGGTATTAGTTCTTATTTTAATGAGTATACACAAAACCCACAGATATCCAATGGTACATGTACATTTAAAAAAAACGGAAAAAGTTCTTGTTTGGATTTTAAACCTTAGGTACAAAACGTTTTTTATATGACAGAGTCAAATAGTAATAAATATTCAATAGTCGTCAAAAATCACAGTGTCATCTGCATATACCTGTTATGATAATTTAAAAAAGTACACTTTAAGAATAATTTAAAAACACGGGTAAACAATTGCTTATCATTGTGTTGTATTCTGAGACTTTCTTTTAAAATCTTCTGATCAACCTGGGAATTGAAATCTGTTACTTTTATGAGTGAGTTGCAGGCATCAGTTTCCATGTTAGTTCATGTATAATATAATGTAATATATATTCAATGAAAACCCCTTCAAACTTTTTGTTACTCTGCCTGATAATCTAAGGTCTGGAACTCCAGATTGTAGCCTGAATATGAAGTTTCCAAAGTCTAGAAATACAATATTAATCATGACGAAGACGAAGAAAGCCTCATTCAAAAGCCAAAACTTTAGTGGACTTAAAACTTTCAAATTGGAGCAAAAACACTGAAGAAATGCATGGGAAAACAGGGCAGAGTGACAAAGATAACTGGGAAACACAGTGATGAAATCCACATGGGAGTCTGGGACAATTGAGGACAGGTGAGACACATTAGGGCGGGGCAGACAGTCTTTTAAAAAAGCCCAGACAGAGACAGGAAGTGGCTTTTGGCTGGGACAGCTAAATATAAATCCTCCCCCGGTGAGATGGATGATATCACACCAATAAAGTCGAACCTCAAACTGCTAAATGTGATTAAAAAAAAAAACTTTACACAATATTCTCCACCTCCAGGGGGAGACTGTGTGCCAATAACACCTCCGTGTGTCAGACTCAGACAGGAGTGTGATGGAGATCCAGCAGGAGTTTTATAAGAAGGAGTCAGGAGCCGAGTCTTTTCCCTCCGGTGCATCTTCTTCTGCCCTTTTCTGTCCCCGTGGACACAGACGTGCGTCACTGAGTTGCTCAGAGTCTGAACTCTTCATCCTTTCCAAAATAAAAAAGAACATAAATGCACCGAGGAGCTCTCAGGCTGTTTATATATTTATAAGCCTTAACCTCACTGGTTAAGAACAGCCCAGCCTTTATGAATGATTTACAGCAGGTGGGCTCAACACGAGGCTCGGGGATCTGCAGTGACACTTGAAAATGTTTAATGTGGCCCAACTGTTTTAAATACACACAAATAAATAAATACATAATATTGGCAAAATTTATGTTTACACATTTTTACTTATATCTAGCTATGTCTTGTAAGATTTTAAGCTATCTCCTTTATTTTCTTGCCCATATTTTTAGCCAAAGTATTTGAAATATAACTTTTTGAAAAATCTGTTTTTGCAAATCTTATCACATGTATACAATGCTGGTGAAATGTATTTATATATTTATATTGATGTATATTTCTTAGGTCACTAAAAACTCTATCCAGTTACTTTTTTTTAATGACCAGAGGTTTATTTTTCTATTTTTGTTTTGTTAGTCGTGGTTTAGCTCCTCTTGTTTTTTTTTTTTATTTTATTTTCCTACTTGTTGACAGTGGGATGTGAGATGAACATCTGTCTGTTTCCTCTTGGCCACTTTCTCGCAGCAATCCCAGACCAACCAAGACTAAACAAATTGTTTTGACTCAGACATTTCCAGCTTGTGTTTGTTCAGCCATGTGTCTCAGAGCAGATGACGTTGCAGTGCCACCATTCGGCCCCTAGGCGCTCCCTTTTTTTTTTTTTCATGTCCCTTTACTGGCTAAAACATAGTGAGCAAAAAAAAAAAATCCCCATGCTTGCATCTTGGTGGCGACCTAAGGGAATGTATTAATGGCTGGGCTAATCCGATTACCAATGACAAACCCACAGGGGAGACGGCGGCACATCTGCAGCGGACAGATAATTACGTCGCCTCACATGTTTGCTGTTTGGTGTGTGTTGGTGTTCATTTGGTGTGTGTGTGTGTGTTTGTTTGTTTCTGATGGTGTTTGGGAGATCATCAGTTTTGTTTTTATCGGGTGGAGACAGAATTCTCTGCGTGTCTCCGAGTCAAACTGAGGTGAATGTCCTTCTGCTGCTCTCAAGGGCAGACGGCCAGTCATGTGATCAGTCTCAGATGGAGTCTTTTCATGAGGAAAAATGAGGATGAAAATGAAATGTCAGTGCTGTTCTGTCAGAGCGGAGCTGGTCATAAAATCACCTCTTTGATGGGCCACTTTTTCATCCCACTTTTATTGTCTTCTTTACACGTGAAATGCTAATTACATTTAAAACATTTGTAGACTGAATGGTAGGGTTCAGAGAAGTGTTTTGTTTTTTGACAAATTTGTAGTAAAAAAATGAAATTTTTCCATTAATATTTTGTCATTTTGTCCTCCCGTAGGTCGGGATTCTTTATTTCCACCCCAGTGTTTTCCGATGCATCCTGCTGCGATGGGTCCGTCTGCTGGGTTTTGCTACAGTCTATGGAACGCTGACGCTGAAGCTGTACAGGTATCAACGCACAAAATATTTTTGGAACCTTTATCCTGAACCTGAGAGGTTGTAGCAATGATAGATGTGATGTGATTTAGCTTTAATTTTCTACCAAATAGGATTCAGATGCGCAAAAAAAATGTTAAATCATGTTCAGATTAGACAAAGTTCTAGGGATTCGTACCATGGATCATCAGATTATGAACTAATTTACGAGTCAGTGATTCTCAGTGTATTTCAAGGAACAACTGAGACTGTTCTTCTGTGGCTCTTCTCGTCAGGGTGATCTGTCAGAAAGAGCCGGTGAAGACGGTGATTAACAGGAAGTGGTTAATGTCAGCTCGGTAAAACCCTCAGTGCGATGCGTCAACAAATCGAAGGGATCAATTTTTGATGGAGGGGGGGCTCATTAGAGAGCAGTGGACCCTTCATCAGTGTACATGAAGGGCAGAGCCTAAGAATAGCCAAGAGCAGCCGCGTGTTAACGCAGACTGAAGGAAACTCCCACCACAGTGTGCTGATAGAGTCATCTGTTTTTAAACCAAATTTTATACAAATTAACACAAGTCTGGTTTGAACCTGAGTCTAAGACAAATTAACACAAGTCTGGTTTGAACCAGAGTCTTAAGCCCCTGGGAAAAACTCCCTCAACAAATCAGGTCTACAGTTTTGTATCAAGTTTTAATGGAGTCTCTAGGGCTCTGTGCCAAAGAGCCTAAAAAGGAAAGGAAAAGGTCGAGTCAAATCAACATAAACTTAAAGGTGTGAGAGTCCAGTCAGGACAGAAATAAGAAAAGTCAGTTTTGTGAAGTCAAAAATCTACAAACAAGTGAATAATCTTGTTCTCCAGCTTTCATGGGTTTCCAGCCAGAGTTTTTCCACTCAGCTTTATTGCTACAGTTTTGTGGAAGCATCTGTTTTACGAGTCTCTCTGTTCCGCTGCCGTCAGAGTCCTGAAGGTGTTCCTGTCCAGGACGGCCCAGAGGATTCCCTACATGACCAGCTGGAGAGTGATGCGCCTGCTGGGCATCATCCTCCTCATCGTCTGCTGGTTCCTGGTGGCGTGGACGTCTGCCGTCTGTCAGAATCCCGACAAGACGGTCGCTCTAATCGACGTGGGCTACACCCCCGATGGTCTGCAGTTCGGCATGTGCCTGCTGGACCGCTGGGACTACATGATGGCTGTGGGTAAGTTCCACAAGTTATTTAATGAATCTGTGGCGTAAACATCATTTAAAGTAACTCAGTGTTGGGAAAGAACAGAGACGACGAGTTTGAAGAGAGAAGAGAGGAGCCTGGGAACATATTTTCTAAAAGACATCGACAGATCACAGCGTTTGTGCTGCAGTTCCGGATGTTTCCTCTTGATTCAAGTGGAGGAGCGGGTAAAGACCAGCAGCAGCAGAATGGGGCAGATGAAGAATCAGAGAAGCTCAGAGGGGGGGCTGATTTGGCTCGCCAATGAAGAAATCTGCTTCCCATTTTACACCGTGCTGACTCAGGCTTCGTGACCAAGAGCCCTCGTGCTTTTGAAAAGTTCTGCGTAAACTAACAGACCTCCAGCAGAGCCGGAACGCTGCCTCCTTCTCATCCCGGGGACAGATTTTCCTTTAATTCTTTACATGGTGGGATTTTGAAAGCGTCAGCTCTGACGTCACCTTCTGCACTCGTCATGCGTTTATCACAAAAACTTTTTCCCCCGATGCAATAAATCCTGAGGACTTAGTGAGCCACTGCTACACAGCTGGCAGTCCCGTTTATTTATTATTTACCACACACAACAACAACATGTGCAGTTTCAGCAACACCATCACGTGTTCACTCAGGAGGATGATTTATGCATATTTTCTCTCATTAGCATTTGTTTTAGTTTTATGCCTCATAAACACTTCTTCTGCTGAAATGTTTTATTTATTGATGTGTATTCATGGAGCTGGACCGTCATATTTATTTATTGATGTGTATTCATGGAGCTGCACCGTCATATTATTATTTTTGCATTACTGGTTAATAAATTGCTTATCAATGCGTTAGGTATTAATGAAAAGCTATTATCATGGTAGCCCATGTACAATGTCAGTATTTAATTTGGATCCTGTTTTAAGTACCATGAAACTCCAATTACCTAGAATAGAACATTGTTTTTTTAAAGTGATTCTTAACCATAGGGTTGTGGCCCAAACTTGAGCCTCCAATGCCATCTAGAAGGACACACCTTTTTTTTTTACGAGTGCATAGGTTAACAACTGAACACGTCAGAGACGAGTGCATAGGTTAACAACTGAACACACCAGAGATCATATTCATGAGAAGATCGGTTACAATGCAGCTTTCGACCTCATGGTGGCAGTAATGCACTTGTCCGTTTGAAGGGCTCCAATATACAGAGCAGAAGATTTTAATATTTTAATTTTCACAATCTTTTTTCTTTCCTCGACAGCTGAGTTCCTCTTCCTGCTGTGGGCGGTGTACCTGTGTTACGCCGTGAGGACGGTGCCGTCGGCGTTCCACGAGCCGCGCTACATGGCCATCGCCGTTCACAATGAGCTCGTTTTGTCGGCCATCTTTCATGTCCTCAGGTAATTGCGTCCGTGATATCGACTCACGAAATGACGTTACTTTGAGAGAAGGAGGAATAAAAGTCTGGAGAATCAAAACAGAATCAAGTACATTCTGGTAGATGTGAGTTGGAGCCGGCAGCACGAACATCGTACTTCCATCTGCAAACACCACAAAAAAAACTCCTCACAACAACACATTTGCCCCCGAAGCCATATTTATGTCTCATTAAAGATGTTTTGGAAAATAAATGATTTGCTTCAAATGTGTGAAAATATATCCACAGTAACCCCCCGGAAGCTTCCACAGAAACATAAGCATAAAGTCAACAAAGAACCTCATTAGTGTCAGTTCCAGAGAGAAGTCTTTTCTCCAGTTTGTCTCGTTTTTTGTCAGTTCCAGAGAGAAGTCTTTTCTCTAGTTTGTCTCATTTTTGTTCATTATTTATTTATTTTTGCATTTTCACAATATCAGTAAGAAATAATTAACATTCTCTGCAGAAGACAATTGATTGTTTTTTTTTCTCAAATGCTTAAACCTTGAAATGGCCTCAAACAGAGTAGGATTAACCCTGCGTTGTAGTGAACAGTCAGTTGGCATTTGGAATTATTAAGATCAGACGTCACGCTGTGGTTAATGTTTTTATTGTATTAATGTGTAATTAATCAATGGTTAGCTGAGAGGATTGAAGTTGATTAATCATTATCAATCATCAATCAATCAATAAATCAATCATCTTTAATCATTAATTGACCAGCCCAGGATCAAATCACAGCCGTTACATGTTTGTATTTATGCTTTGAAAAACCCCAACTTTGCAGAATCTTCCCGTGCCGTGAGGAAACTGGACAGTTCTTAGTGATCCTCCTCCTTGTTCTGGGTGCATTTATGTTTTCCACTCAACCTGCTTTTCCATTGAAATAACACTGTAGGACCATGAGATGGAAATGAGGTGAAAACCGAGGCTCAAACCTCCTTCTTTTTGCCTGGACCAGGTTTTTCGGTGTCCATCAGTGACCAGTGGAGGGCAGACAACAGAACATCCACGGTTGTTAAATCTTTATCTGCGGTGGTGAAGCCGTTTGACCGTCCACGCTGTGTGGAAGTTTCACATCCTGGACCTTTGCCTTGGTTCATGCCCCCGAGCTGCTGCTGCAGTAACGGCTCCTTAATTAGCCATTTGCCAACTTCAGCAACATAATGAGGGCTGCTCCGTGACATTTGCTGGGAGATGGGTCTCTGCCACGGCTGAATAAACACCTGACAGAGGCCGCGCTCTCGTATCCTGAACGTGCACCAGGTTTTACTGTTGGTCCATTTAAATAAAACACTCACCGCAGTATATTCTCTCGACTAATTATCTAATATTCCACTCACTGCTGCTCCACAGTTTTACCACCTGCAGCAGAAAGAGTTGGATTCTGAGACCAGAACCAGGTCAAACTTTTCCTGAAAAAAAACTGAGGTTTTCTTCGCTGGTGTCCTTGTTAAAAAGACGGATGAGTGGATTAGATCCTGCAGACAGTGTCTGTCTTTATTGTTGTCCTGTTTTAAAGTAACATCTTTGTCCTTCCTTCTCACAACCTGACAGGTTCACTCTGGCGTCGGAGCTCCATCCAGACTGGATGCTGCTGCTGTTCTTCACCCACACACACCTGACTGTGACAGTTACACTGGGACTCCTGCTCATTCCCAAGGTAACTTCACCGGTTATTTTTAACCAAATGTCAATGTGTAGAAATTCTCATCTCCAACAAACAGAATTGATCTGTTAATGATAAACTGCCCCTTTAAAATGTACCCATGTGTTATTTTTGGCCAGGTAACAAAATACATTTCTAATATTACACATATAACGTGTATGTATTTTCCTATGTAAAACAGATAGACATGAATATTTTTTGTGGGTTTTTAGATGAAAAGGCATTATTTTCCATCTTCAAATATATAAATATGTGCTTGTTATTTACCTAGAACAAATACCAAACATTCACACAGTCCAAACATGGAGTTAGAACTGCCAACGAGAGCTTAAAGTCGACCCAGATATTTCTAAACAGCCCAACAGAAGTAATTTATTCCGTTTTATTTCACTGTGACCACAATTTTTTCCATTATGGATTTCTGTCAACACTGCACTTAAACAACTACATGAATATTTAATCACAGTTAATACAGTATCTCTGTCGTCCCTTTCCACCAGTTCCTGTTTGCCGGCACCCACATGAGGGACGACATAGCCTCGGAGGCCTACGAAGACGAGCTGGACATGGGTCGCTCTGGGTCCTACCTGAACAGTAGCATCACCTCTGCATGGAGTGAACACAGTTTGGACCCTGAGGACATTCGGGTAAGACTGGCCTCAAACCAAACGACCAGTCTCTCCTCCACGATTTGACCTGCACATACTGAGCCGTGGGAGTTTTTTATTTCAGACACCAGAGGAAATGGGCCACGTCAGTTCAGTTAATGGCTGTGGCGTAAGATCATGTGACAGTCTTTGGGAAAAACGTACCAATGTGAGCAGAGGTTTCTGTTTGTCTGTTAGAGCTGAAGAAGTCTCTTTACCTAGAACACTTTGGGCACATCAGTCCTGTCCACCAGAGGGAGTGGTGCTGGGAGTCCAGTGACAGAGACCAGATACAATCTTAGCTCTGAGGCTGTTTCAGACCTAACATTAGTAACGTAAATCGTTCGGTGTATTTCTTTAGTCCTATCCAGGAATGTCCCGTCTGTGCTTTTTTCCTTTCAGCTCGCATGTGAGGTCCCGTAGTGCATCACTGCCTAACTGTTGGTCGTCACATGTTCAATGATTATTTGTACTGCATGTGTTCTGTGCAGTAGAATGTCTGCTTCTTTGTTACCGTGTCCTTACTGGAGAAGCTCGAACGATACATCCTGCAGTTTTCAGCTGGAGACGCTGTTGTTTGAGTCGATTGAATATTGTCAGTAGGAGAAAACGTCAGAACATCAAGACCAATAAAAAGGTTACACTTAGTTATTAATAAGGAACATTTGAATGGGCAGTAACAGTTCTTTAACCACAACAATAACATTGGTCTAAAATGGTGATTCATAGCAGAAAAAACAGCAAAAAAACTGTCAAAAGCTTTAGGTTAGAGCTTAAAGATAACTTACTACTATCGACCAAATAGCAACCGCTTTCTACAGCCATTTTTACAACCTAGCTAATGTAGTTGAAAATTTACCAAATTAAAAGTTCCCATAAAATACCTAAGAAATGTCCAGAAGGTAAACCAACAGCTCAAATATCAATTTCCGAATGACAGGGATACCTTTGGAATATCCTGGAAAACCAGCAATCCTATGAGAACTAGCCGAAAGTTAACTTGTTGAGTTTTAAATTCTGCCCCTAGTGACTGGGTTTTAATAGCTGCACTGCATTTGCAAACCAGCAACAGCAGGACCAACTGGTCTAAACTCTTTCTCCCACCAGACAATATTTTCAACAGCAGGACCAACTGGTCTAAACTCGGCCAAGTACTCTTCTTTCTCCCACCAGACAATATTTGACAACATCAAGAACAACGCCACATGTGTGAAAACTGAAAAATTCTCCTTAGTCCTGAAAAAAGACCGATCTTTAATAATATGTGTGTTTTCCTTTTCACATGAACACGCAGGAAGAGCTGAAGAAACTTTACTCCCAGTTGGAAATTTACAAACGGAAGAAAATGCTGGCAAACAACCCTCATCTGCAGAAGAAGAGAAGCTCCAAGAAAGGCCTGGGTCGATCGCTGATGAGGCGCATCACCGAGATTCCCGAGTCGGTGCACCGTCAGTGCAGCCGTGAGGACAAGGAGGCCGGAGAACACGGCAGTAACCGGAACAGCATTTGCATGTTGAAAAAGAACCCTTTTGATGTTCCTCACACTGGGAAACCAGCGAAGGAGGAGACGCTGAAGAACAAGGTCTTCTCCTTGAAGAAGTCCCACAGCAGCTATGACCACGTCAGAGACCAAAACGAAGACTCCAGCAGTTCTACAACAGACAAGATGGAGGTGACCTCAGCTGAAGGTTCCCTCCTGGAGACACTTATGGGCAAGAAGCTGGTCAAAAAGAAGTCGAGTGAGAATATCAGTGCCCCGAGTGAATCCACCGAGTCGGTTCCTCTGGTCTGCAAGTCAGCCAGCGCTCATAACCTCACTGCCGACAAGAAGCCGATTTATCCCAGACCCTCCATGCTGCAGAAGTCGCTCAGTGTCATCGCCAGTGCCAAAGAGAAGACTCTGGGTTTGACGGGAAAAACCCCAAATGCCGAGGACAACAACAAGAAGACTCAGTCAAAAGGCAAAGAACCAAACTCGGAGAACGAGAGTCAGTCGAAGACCTCGGTCAACCAGACAGTTGAGAGCAAACAGAATTTGACAAAAGGTCGAATCATGAAACAGACAGTGAGCAGTAGTGAACCAACCATCTATTCTGATCCCATCAAGGGAAATGACCTCTACGATCTTTCCGAAGTGTGTCCCTGGGAAGTGGAAGACATTCCAACTCCGTCTGAAAACAAGGTTCAGAAGCACGTCTCCATAGCACCGGAGGAAACGACAACAGTCCACGGAGGAAGCACCAAGGCTGGGAAAACTCAGCATCAAAAACACAAGACTTCCGATGTCTCAACCGTGAGTAGCAGGAACTCAAAGGAAATTCCGAGGACAACAGCTGTCCGAGCGGACATTTGTCCGTGGGAGGAAGGAGGTGAGAATAACGCTGCACAAGTAGAGAAGTCAAAGCAGCAAACAACGGGCCAGTTTTCAAAGCCTCCTCCCGCGACAGAAACCTCCAAAGCATTCCGAGCAGAGATTTGTCCATGGGACTTTGAAGAAGCAAACAGGACGACAGAGTTGTCGCAGTTAACTGAGGTTTCAAAGCAAAAAAAAGGGTCTACTCCAGTGGAAGGGCGAAATAAGAATCCATCAGTACCAGATCCATCTAAAACATCCAGATCTCTCCAACTTCAACCTTCAAAGTCTGAGGTATGTCCCTGGGACTGTGACAGTGCCGCGGTTTCTTCAAACCTGGAAAGGACACCGAGTCCTTCTCAAGGTTCCAAAACCAAGGAAGATCCCACGAAGAAGAAGGTCACTTCTTCCACAAGGACACTTGAAAAAGAAAAACCAAAAGACGCTGGCGACGAGAAGGGTAGAACAAAGGCTAAGGACAAGAGCAAAACTTCAGAGAAACAACTTCAACAGAAGTTGGCCGAGGTTTGTCCGTGGGACGTAAACACTCACCAGGAGCTGCCGTTGGTGGAGAAACGAAGAAGCGCCAACGTGGGAGCGGCCAAAGTCAAACAGGCTGAAGTCTGTCCGTGGGATTTTGAAGACACTGCGGATAAAAAAGGTCTGGACAAAAACGCTTCTGCTGTGAAGCAGAGCAGTTTGAATCCCAAAGGTGGGACGACCGGTGCAGCCAAGAAGGCTGATGTTTGTCCGTGGGACTTTGACGACAGCGCACCAGGCAAGAAGGCATGACACCAGAAACCCTCAACGGACCAATGACACCACAATAATAGTTACTGATTTGGTTTTTTTCACTCTGGAACCGTTCAGATGTTTTACTTTGACTATTTGGTGGCGGTGACTTGGATGAAAAGTTTGATCAAATTCCACAAGTTGCCTTCCTTTCCGAGGTTTCATTCCTGTTTGTCCTGTTTTGAAAGTAAGTAAAATGTAACAACATTTTGATGAAGATTCCAGATTATTACAGGAAAAAAAAAACACTGAAGATTAATTGTAGACAAAATTATGCAACTTTTGATTCAACATTTTCACTTCATGAGCAATGATTGAAAAATCTGCATTTGTCCTGTGCTCCACTCACCTCACTTTGACAATGATTGAAAAATCTGCATTTTTCCTCTGCTCCACTCACCTCACTTTGATTTAGTTTTTTTTTTTCTGTGTTCTGCACATCAAGATTTTTATTTTTAGACCAGGACAGGAGAGTTTTATTGGTTCTTTTCTTCTTAGAGTTTGATTTATGAAAAGATGTGAAAGCCAAAGAAGGAGGCGGGAACATTTGCAAATAGGTATGTCAGTCCATGTGGCGATAAAGTTTAATTTATGAGTTTGTGACCAAACCGTTGGCACAGAGTGAAGGACTCAGTGAAGGGAAAAAGAAAAATCTATAGCACTTTAGTCGTACGCATTAATTAAGAACCGAGTACCAACTCTGTTCTTATGAACTTCATCCTTTTCGTTTTCTTCATCATCGTGTGTTTTTCTTTCTTTTTAAATCAGTTTAATTGTAGTTTCCTGGGCAGACTCCGGTGCTTCCAGATCTGCTGGGATGTTCTGTACGTGCCTAATCAACTTTGTCTTTGTCTGGTATTGATCTGAGCTCAGAGTATCAGTGGTTCCATCTCCATCCTTCTTTGATGACAGAGGTGTTTTGTTAAAAAAAAAAAGGCATGCAGGAAAATGACAGAAAGAGGCGTTTAGTTTTTTTTTTCCTGACTGATGTCCAGTACCATTTCTTATTTCTGCCCCTACCTCTGGAACACTGTCAGAACAGGTTTTGTTGTGGTTAGCATTACTCTATGACGTGCTACATATTCTTAGTTTAGCGTTGGGGGAGGGCGGGGGCAATTTTGTGGACACTGGTGTGGATAGTTGAAGTGTAAGTGTTGGTGAAAATTAGGTGGAAGAAAGTGAGATGGTGAAAATATTTTAAAACTTTGGAGGTGAATTGTGTAATTCTCAGGAGAATGTGGCAAAATTTGGAGGAAATATTTAAATGATTGAGAAGAATCAATGTTTTCTTTCACCCCTGCATCTTGTTTTTTGTTTCAGTCTGAAAGATTGAGTTAAATTCTGATTTATTATAATTTTATCTACTTTTATTTATTTATTTTTTTTTACCATTATTTTCATTCCATCACAATAACCATTGGCTAAAAATGCCTCAAATAACCCCTAATAAGTCAGTAGCTGTTTTGGTTTCCTCATTCAAAAACTGATTCATTTGAATTGAGTTCCTTCTGAGCCTCTTAAGTACAGTAATGTCAAAAGTAGTAGGAAAAACTGCCTTATACACAAACAAAACCAAGTTTTATATTCTATGTGAAAATGACGAAGGATGAACATGATACTGCCCTCTGTTTGTATTCTCACTGGTTACAGGACATTATGCATGTTTTTTCCCGTTATTCACTTTAGTGAATGTTAACGCCCAGACTGATTATTTATGCTTCTATGGGTTGTGGTGACCAGTAACTCATTTATCTGAACCTTATGTAGGTTTTTATATTTGTTCTGTGTTTTGTATCAAAATGTCTAAATATTCCTGGGTTTCCAGAGACACAGGAACGGAAAACTGTGCAGAAGTCTTCAACGTCTTCAACAGTCTTGTTTTCTGTTCTGTCTCGGTGGTACTGATCCGAACCACCGCTTCTGAAGTCTGCGACAAATGGACCAAATTATAGCACACTTTGGCTTGTCACTGACAGACTCTTATTTCAGATCCTGCCGTCCAAGGTTTTGATTTATCCCAACGTTTTGGGTCATGTTTATGGGCTGCTGCCTACGGGCTGAAGATCGAAGCCTTCCAGAATAATCTTCTCTAAGAGCAAACTTAAAATAATCAAACAATTTTAGAATTCTGAGTTTCATGTAGATTATGAAAATACCTTTTTTTATTTGATTTTTTTTTTGCTTTATTTCTCTCTGCCTAAGACTTTTGCACAGTTTCACACGTTCCCATGTTTGCTGAAAACAACCATGGAAATTGGCAGTAGCTTAAAAGAAACACTGCGTCAAACTAGCATCGGAAATATTTTATGTATTACACGAATGTCATGGATGTTGTCAATGGATTCTAGCTGCGGTTTAATATGTCCTGGAAACCTCTGTAAGAAGTCAGTTTAAAAAAAATCAGCACTTGTTTGTGGAAGAAGAAGAAAAAAATTTGACCTCATTGGAAAATTTCAGCACTTGTTTGTGGAAGAAGAAGAAGAGGAAGTGGAAGAGAAAAATTTGACCTCATTGGAAAATGTCTGTAGCACAAGTTACCTGAGGAAACAATCGTGTGACCATCTCTGCTGCACACGCCGTCAGGCCTCACACCGATCAACACCATAAACCCCAAATTGGCTGTTACCCCGTCTCATATCTGCCTCCACCCTCTGAGAAATTACCTCCGCCTTTGACCTGTCTGGAAAAGGTGTAAAATGTGGAGAGTGTTTGCCTTTGAGCGGGAGATTTGTCACCGCGCGGCCCCTGCTTTATGAGCTCCTTCAGGAACAGACGCTGAGAAGAACCGTCAGCGTGTGTATGGATTTACTGTCAGGCTCTGATGGACCTGGCTGGGATATTTATGGAGCAGATGTTCCGCAGGTCATCCATCATCTGAAAGAACCCAGTCCCAGTAGAAGAGCGGAGCTCCAGTGAGACAGGAGCCGCAATTCACCTAAATACCACCGTCTGCAGTCGTCGAAAAAAATCACTGCCGTGTTGGAAGTTTACTGCTGAGGGATTTGAACCAGTAACTGTGTTTTTGTTCTCCAAAGATCAAACTCCTACTGTCCGTCTTTCAAGAAAAAAAAAACGGTTTTGAGTCTTTTACTGAGTTTAAGTTGCTACTGTTGTTGTTTTCAAACTGCTGTAGTGTCGAGACCTGGAGGTTAGCTACCAAGTTAGTCAAAAAGTGTTCTTTTTTATTCCTCGTCTCCTCAGAGAACTGAAATTCCTTTCAAATGTTTTTTCACGCTAGAAAGCTTCAAAAGTTTGGTTGAAAAAGTGTCACGTTTGCTCTGAAAATCGTTAGTTTCCGAGGGTTAAAAATCCCGACTAACTCACCAATTTACAGATTTGTTCATTTTTCAGTACATTTTTAGAAAGTGTAACAATTTTCTTTTTGAACGTGACATTAGAACAGAATCTACAGCTGTTTGATCTGAAAGGGAATTCAGTGAATTTGTTTTTAAAATGAACCCATACAAGCAATATTTTACAGTCCAGTGGAGCAACAGAAGTCACCTATTATTTAGTACTTGAAGGTACAGTGTGCAATATTTAGTGACCTCTAATGGCAGGAATCCTAGCTATAGCTTCTCTAAACACGTCAGGGAACGATGGTGGAAAACAGGAAGTTTACATTCGGTTTTTGGTCCTGTGCTTTACGACCTAATATTTTCATCCCAATATTTTTGCCTGAAAAAAAATGTTTTTTGAGTGTATGGTGGCGTAAAGGGTGGAGCAAAGTTTTCAACATGGCTGCCTCCCTCTCCTCAAGCCTCTTCAAGTTATAAAACATTTAATTACAAAAAAAAAATCAGTTCTTATCTGAACTGTCCTAATTCCCTGCCAGTAAATGTCACACACTGGACCTTTAAAGTCTTCACCAACATATATGGCATCATGACAGTGAAGATCCAGTCACGTGTTTCGCGGCGGTGTTTTGCTGTAGCATCCCTCAGGTGAACCCGTCCATCGCTGTCAGCTGTCTTATCGTCGTATCGTAGCCGTTAGTCTGTGAACGTCCGCGTCTCAGCCGTCGTCGTCGTCGTCAGGTATGCAGTCCGAGAATGTCGTCCTTGTACCACGTGGGTGTAGACGATTCTGTGTCCTGTGGCCCTGATCTTCAGCGTGGTGCGTTCAAGTCCGATAGTTCGTTCGCTGTTTGTTTGTTAGTTTTGATTTTTTTTTTGTTTTGATTTTTTGTTTTTGTTCAGAATCCCGACTCCTGTCTCCTTCTCGTGACCAAACCCAGTCACCATGACTGCACATACAACTACTACTACTTATTTCTACTTCTACTACTACTACTACTACTACTTCTACTTCTACTACTCAATGCTGTAAACGTGGTAAACTTCTTGCTCTTGTGGCTTCTGCATGACTTCAGAGAAATTAGTAGGACCGATGTTTCACTGCCCTTGAATAGCTCAAGAAGAAACTGGAAAAAAAAAAAAGAAGAAAAAAAAAGAGAGAGAAAAACGTTGATCTTTTCTGGACTGTTACCAGTTGTATAGTGAGTGATACTGTCTCTAACCCACTGTATTATGTGCTTGTTATAAATATTGCTCTATGACAAGCTTATAGCATCCATATATGGGAAATATTTGGTAGATTTATATTGTGTTATATTGTGATAGCATGTACATAAAAGATACCTCCTCTGCAATAAACATTTATATGAAAAGTGATTGGCTCCAGTGTGTGGCTGCGCTCATTTACATTTTCAACTGTGAAAATGTAAACACACACACACGTACTGTGTTAGATTCTTCAACACGTACGTGAAATTATGTCATAGGTTTTGATTTTATATTAATTTTGTCATTATATAAAAAACCCTCCAAATTAAATTTAATCTAATAGTTTCAGTTCCTTATTTAAATTTGGATCTAATGGTTGACTTTTACCTTTTTTTATCCTTTTCATTTCGTCTCAGCTTCGAGACTTTTATGTATAATCTCTTAATTAATTTAATTTGATTTAAGGACTAAATAATAGAATCATCTTATAATTTGCTTTTTTTCTGATATTTTAACTTTTCGCCTCATGAGTCAGACTTTTTATTGTTCCACTTTTGGTCTCATAATTAAAACTTATAATTATGACTTGTAATAATAAATTCATGTTTTATTCATATTCAATTTTTACTTTCAATTATTAATTTAGCTGTTATTTATTTTTTTCTTTTAATATATATATATGTATATGTTTGCCTGTCTGTATCTCAGACATCCATCTTTCTAAACCTGTTTCTCTATCAGCTCTGTTCCTTCAGTGTTTGGCCTCCACAGTGTGAGATGTTCCAAGTTGGATGATGGAAGGTCAAACATCCATCTACAGTGTAAGGACGTTCCTCGTGAGTCTCGGA